TGATGTACTAACATGTTTGTTTGTCCTAAAGGTCAAAAAAACAATCCATTTTGTGTTACACCTAGTTACAACTATTGGGCACCCTGGATCGGGAGTAAGACTCGTATAGCGAATGTTGTTCTCAACACTGAATTTGAGAAAGTGCACAAAGCAAAAACTGCAGAACGAACAGAAATAACTGTCTCTGAAGATCGCTTAAAGGACGAACTTTTAAAACAGAAAGTAAAATATTTAATGCTAATTATATGTATTATTTGTCAGTGTTGGCATTTCATTTAACGTGTGTGTTTTATGTGATAGGTGGGAGTGATAAGAAGACTGTGTCAAGAGTGTGGTTTAGATGCCAAAGGCTCTCGCACAGATCTACTCCTGCGACTTTCGGAGGAGATGAGGTCAAGGGAGGCCTATGACAAGGTTTTTGAAAAGATTTGGGCTGCTTCAGGTAAACCTCAATGTTGCACATTAAAATATTACAAATAAATCAGAAATGTACAAAGTCACATAGACACAATGGGTCCTGTTTTCTGCTTGGCACTGATTGGGGAGTGACTGGTGGTGTACAGCTCAGGGGGGGTGTTGGAGGTGGCCTCGTCTGACACCTATTGTTGCTTTCCGTGTAGGGGAGTGTATTTACATCTCTGAGGCACTGCATCTTTAAATTTTTTAAAAGTATACTTTGTTAAGGTTAATGCCACTGCCCTCCATCATAACCTATGGCCATTTAAGTCCCAATGTCATTAATGGGATTTGATTATGTTTTCTTAACTATTTGCTTATCTTTTTTGTCTGTTCCAGGAGGTTGGGCTGTCATCATGTGTCCTTGTGGTATAGTTTACAGTATAAAATGTAATCTGCGAGCAGAAAGTCCACGGGATTTTGCAGATATGCTTCTGTCTTGGAAGCATCTGCCTAATGTTGTTATTTATGACTTTGCCCGTGGACTGTCCACCCACACAAATTTGAGGAAACCCATAACTTTCATACCTTTCAAGGGAAGGTTACTCGAACCAACCACTGAAAATATTGCAAAATCAGGAAAATTACAGGTAACTCTGCCATGGCTCACTGCAAAAAAGCAAAGTCCAGATCCGGATGGTCATCCAATAACTGGTTCTGCAGAACACTATGTTCTGTATGACCGCTTTCACGAGGACAACACAAAAGATCCTCGTGATTCACTGAGGAAGCTTCGTCTTGTGCCTCAACTAGCTGGCAAAGTTAACAGTCAGGCTGCAGAACAGCTTTTTTCAAAGCTAAAGAAAAACAACTACTTTATGAACATGGCATTGCCATCCACACATGTTTTCCTCATGCGAAACATCATCCACCATTACAAAGTCAGAAAAAACGAGAAACGTCTTCATGACATAAAAAAGGAATTCAACACAAACATTCACATGAATGACCACAGCCAGGTTGTGTTAGGTAATGTTTCCCTTACTTTGTAACAAATACATCACTTTATCCATAACAGATGAAGGAACTCATCGGCATTTTTCAGTGGTCAACACAAGTTGAATCTGAAATCTTGGGCATCTCCAATGGTCTCATTCATTGAACTAGCTTGAGGGCTTATACCATCAGGATAACAGAGCGCCAATTGATTTCGGGCTCCTCTGACCAGTACCTCTATGCAGATGTTCTGGTACCCTTCGGCTAACTAGCCAATGATTAATTAAATCAGTTAAATTAAAAACAATGGCCCTTACAGGATCTTCAGCGGAAACCATTTCCTGAGACTTTTAATTGACTCCTGGTCATGTGCTCGCCTTGGGCACATCCTGCTAGAAGCACAATTTCGTAGAGACAAAGAGATCTCTAGAAACATTAATGCATATGAACAAAAGCTAATCTCTTAATGTTAGAACTAAGGCAGATGTATCTTTGAATAATATGCCATAATGTTCCTCATATGCTGTTTATTCCAATCAACTAGGTTAATCAATGTGTTGTTTTAACCCTTATAACAGAGTAAAATAATCTGTATGTGTCTGAAATGTATGATGTCTGGTATTGAACGAAAGCTAGTGACATTTGCAATACGTTGGTGTAAATGAAAAACTAGTAGTACAAACAGTATTCATCTTGTAACGTTTGATGTAAGATAGTTTCAATCTTGCAAGAGTTCTACCACGTGAAATCTACATGCAGTCTGTTAATTAATGACCTTTCCTACGTCAGTACGGGGCGTGGCCCCGCCCTTCATGGCAGCTGCTCATTGGCAGACAGTGCCATGGGGACGAACCAGACCAGGTCACTTAAAAACACCCTGCAACAAAGAAACTTTGCTTTTTGCATCAGCTAGCTTGCGCATGCTTTTGCTCTCTGCCCCCTTTCGCCTGCCACGCGATTGGGTCACTACGAACTCCCACGCAAACCTCTTAAGTTTCGGGACTCCCGAAGCTGCATGAACTTCCGCAAACCGACTCTCAGCAGTCTGTCACCTCGGTAACCCAGGACAACAGCCATTCACGAGCGCGTGAATCCCAAAGACGTCATCGAAGCGAGAAACCACCCAATCAGGAGCACCGTGTTTCCCCAAGGCCAGCCGGCGAGGGAGATTCGACTTCAGCAAAAAGGGCGCAAGTAACACAAACTAATGTTGTCTCTTGCTGATCTTGTGCAGATTGATCTTAAGCAGTTAAAGATAAGCCATATCTCTGCTTTTGTGGTTTCTCAGGTGTTATTCTAAGATCTTGCAAGAAGTATTAGAATTAATTTGGGACGTTGTCAACTCATTTTGCATCCTCTGAACTGCCTCTGTGTGTATGTGTGAATGTGTGTGGGTGTTTGTTTGTTGTTTGCTTATTACGTAGTTAGTTTCATTTATCGTAGTGTAGCTCAATAAATCTTTGTACTCATTTTGTAAGAACTGTGTTCTTGTTTATGTGCTTCTAAGTCATTGCCTCGAGCTGTAGATCTTGTTACCTTGCTAAAGGTTAACCCAATACTGTGTTATGTTATGATCGTTGGCCACGTAAATAATATAAACAAGATTGGTAAGATACGATGTCTTCTATTTGCGGGACAAATGGTAGATAAAGTGTGAATCTTTTGATCTGATTCAATCTGACTCATTTGAGTCAAATCAATGATTCGAATCTTCAGGATCCGATTCATTGAAATGAGCTAATTAATCCCTGATCGATATTAAAACGTAGGTTGATCCCCTACACTGTACTTATGTGTATATTTGCATTTATAGAAAATCCATCCTCCACAGAGAAATGCATGGACATGTCACTTGGTAATTTGACTGTTCTTTCCAGTTGCTCACTGTCAAGTTTCTGTTCACTAATTATTATGTGTTATTTTCTAATTTTGATGCTTTAATGTACTCTAAGGACCACTGACAGCACTGCCAGAAAATATTGTGACTTTACAAATTCAGTACCATCATCAGTACCAATTACAGAAAAAACAGCTTGTGAACCTACCACTCTTCTGAATTTTTTGGAACCTACTAAGCCTTGGGAGAGGGACTGGCATCCATTACAAGAGAAACTGGTGAACAATTACTATTACATACAAACGCACACACACACACATATTTATTGTTATTATTATTACAGCTTGATTATGTGCTGGACCGAAATCGCCCTGGCAGTGAAATAATTGTGAAGGAGGGGCAAGTGTGCCTTATTCGAGAAGAATTTTGGAGCCTTGGATTGTTGAGGGACATGGACTCCCATGTAAGCAGTCTGTTTTTTTATTATAACTTTTTTTTTTATTAAAAACATTGACTTATCAAAGTATTTATTGCAGATTGGAAACGCCTGCATGAAGCTTATTTGTGAAATGGCTCGACAAATTGTATGTACTATAAAACATAATATTTATATAGATTGTTTTAACTTGATCCAAATTAAAAAAAAAAAAACAATTTCTAAACTGTGTGAAAATGTTCATGTCATTGTCAACAGTTTCTTTTTATTCATGTAGGGCAAGGACATATACATTGAGGACTTTTATGTTGTCCCTGTGTGGAAAGAAACTCCTAACAACATTGTTACTGGATTACCGGTGCGTGTATGTACTGTATTTACTGTGTGAGAAGTACAACCTAAATTAAACGACATAACTGTCCTGATCAATTCTAGGAAGATGCAGACTTGAAAGACCTGTTAGCCTTTCCAGCATGGACAAATGCCAATGGACCAGACCACTTTGTTGTCTGTGTAAGAAAATGTTGAAATGTCTAGTGCATACATTAATTGGTATTGCAATGTGTGTGTTTCTAAAATAAAACACTGAAAACTCTTGGAAGAAGCAATAATGTTCAAATGAAATATTTTTACACCTTTAACATTGTAGATAATGATGCCGCTTCGAAGAGAGATGGTGTTTTTAGACTCTCTGTACGCAGAGCATGAATCAGGATTTGGAGATGAGGAATACAGGGCAATTTTTAGGTCTATCAATAAACTAAGACGTTTCAGCCTTTATGTGATATATGGCTACGTTCCTATAGCCATTTCTATTTATTTCCTAACCGTGTTTTATAGTTCTGTCACTTTTGGCTACGTTCCTATAGCCGTTTCTATTTATTTCCTAACCGTGTATTATAGTTCTGCCACTTTTGGCTACGTTCCTATAGCCGTTTCTTGAACTTCTGGCTATGTTCATCTAGCCTTTTTTATGCATGGTGTTCTAGAGTTGAGGTGAGCTGTAATTGTTAGTATTACTACTATGTTTTGTTTACAGGAAAATTGCTTACCAAGTGGATCATGGGACATGGTCTGAAAAGACTGGATATGATTTTCCAGTGAGGAATCAACTTAAAAAAAAAATATTATTTGGCTTTTACAACAATTAAATTTTTTGTACGTTATTCTAAAATAAAATTGATTTGCTTTGCCTATTTTAGGCTTTGCCACGTCAGACAAGAGGGAATGATTGTGGTGTTTTTGTACTCATGGTAAGATATAAATTGAGTGAATTGATTTAAAGATTTTGTAAACATTGTAAATGACTGTGGCTTCTCTCTTTTCAGTACACCGTCTCAATGGTGTGTGGCATTGGGTTTCAATTCCAGGAGGTATTATTTTATTATTTATGTAACTTTATTTTGTTGGTGCTTTTCTTAATCATAGCTAAAATGTAACTATTTTAGTGTATATTATCTTGCTTTCTTCTAAGCAACATATCTTTTAAAAAAAGGGGCATGGTTATTGCAAGCACACCCAACATCATGTATTAACAAAAACATGTTGGTTAACTGTCAGACTAAACAGTCTTTCTTTCAGATGGATATACCTATCATCCGTCAGTGGTGGTGCCTTCTACTCATGGAACGATTTTAAATTGATGGGTATGTCAGTATTTATTTATTTTTCTTGTAAATCTGTAAAATTCAAAATTTATATTGTGTCAATACAACAACTTGTAACATGAATAACAAAACATACTTAAAATCTCTCTTACCGGTGACCAGTATGTCACCGACTCGGTCCCAGTAACTCCCCTCGCTGGCCAGCAGAGGCCACCATCTCCGGACTTTTAGCATTACGTCATCCATCTACACTGATTGCGCATACACCTGATTGGAATCTGGCTAATGACCCATGTACCTATTATAAGCCACACTAAATTACTCGTTCAAGGCGAAGTCTTGTTTAGCCCCGGCCAGCATTTCTGAGCATTATCTCCAGCCTGATCTCCTGTGCACGACTCCAGCCTGTCTCTTACTTTGCTTCGCCTTCTGCCTGCCCACGACCCACGCTTGTTATACGGACTCTGACTCTCTCTCTGCCTGCACACGAACCACGCCTGTTATACGGACTCTGATCCTTGCTGCCTGCCCTTGACCCAAGCCTGCATAACGGATCCTGGTTCTCGCTCACTCCCTTCCACTCATGCCTGGTAACTCACTCTGTGTCTGTTCATCATCAGTCTTGATACCCATACTACTACTGTGGATGTGTGTGTGCACTCCGGTGCATATTGTGTGTTTGAGTGAAGTTGTGATTAATAAATACTGCATAATGGATCCCTCCGTGTCAGTCTCCTCGTTACACAGTAATTATGGATTTTGTCTTGTCTTGTTATTAAAAGCTATGGGCACAGATTTGCTTTCTGGACTGAGGAGGCAAGAAGTGTCTTGGATGGAAAGATTCTACTCCTGTTAGGGTGAAAAGAAAAACCACATCCAATCTTCCGGCACATGTCCAAGCAGTTTAAGATTGGGAAAGGAATGACAAAAGATTAGTGGACTTGATTATCACATCAAAATCAGCAGAGCAGCATTTGGTGGTATAGATGGTTCCACTTTAATTTACTCCTCTAGATCAGTGGTTCTCAAAGTGGGGGTCGGGACCCCCCGAGGGGTCGCGGGGCAATGAAGGGGGGTCGCCTGGTGATTTCCAAAAATCTATTTTTTTTTATTGAACCATAAGAATTAACATATTTTATCCATAACCATACTGAAAATAAAAATAGTCGTTTATAGTTAATATATACTATATAGTAGCTTATAGTTACTAGTTCTATTGGATTGCGACCCCATGGGTAATTACATTATATTAAAGGCAGCAATAGCGTCAGATGCGTTTTGATTTTATAACATCAGGTTATACTTTCTGGCACATTTAAAGCACTGACACAAATTTAATTGGTGTGTCTGCGTCATTGCTTGCAAGGTTTCTGTATTTATAACCACCTCAGAGGATATTGGGGGTCGCGAGTCACTGGCATTGTTATTTTGGGGGTTGCGGGCTGAAAAGTTTGGGAACCCCTGCTCTAGACTCTGAGTATGGTTGACTTAAATATAGTCAAGTGACAATTTAACTATTATTTGCCAAATATAATTAATTACTTGTGCATTTACATATGAAATATAATTTCCTTCTATGGCCCAAAGGATATACTAGGTGGGAAAAGGTCAAATTGGTTTCCACTAAAACCCCGTTCTCAAGTGCCTGTCTACATTGAGAATGAGCAGTCCCAGTCAATCATTTGTGACTACATCAGAGGAATTCTTAATAAAACCAAAACACAGCTGACCTTCAATGATGAGGTGGAGTTCATTTGTGGATGTCTCCTCCCAGAGGTAATCACAAAACATGTATGTACATGAGCATGCTTATGTTCTGCAGTGTGTGTTTTATTTTATTAATTGATTTATCTGTATGTTTGTACAGGCCATAACTCATGGCATTTCCGAATTACAAGGCTTGTCTTGGCAGGAGGCTGAAGATGTCTTCCTCCAGGGCCCCATTTATCACGCAAGGTATGTTTACATTTTTTTGTACAAAAGCTGTTAAGTTTTTATGTTAAACACAATTTCTGACAACAGCATTTATTTTTTTTTTGTGAAGTTGAGGAATTTAACAGAAGAATTGCTCGAGAAATGAAAAATCTCCCCAACAAGAATGTAAAGCATTTTATTTTATTTTATATGTAATAAATACAATATTAATCCAAGTATTGTTTTTCACAATTTTTCTCTGCATTTTTTACAGCTCGATGACTTGTAGGACCTCATGAAAATTTATAAAAAAATAAAGTTTGGTGTGAGAAAATTACTCAGAGTACTATCATTTATTGTATGTGAATAATAAGATAATGTTCATTCCCTCAACTCAATACTAAAGAGTTTGATAAATCCTTAATGATTTAAAAACAAAAAACAACAACAAAAACAATAAATGACTGAAAATATTTAAGTAACTGAACAATATCTATTTACAAATACAGTTAATTAAAATACAACAGACTTAATGCATTAAATTATAATCTAGTATGTTTAATATTTTATATAATAATGTATTCAATCATAGTGAAATATTTTATAGTAGAAAAATAGTGTAATTTACAATTTATAAATCAATGAATTCAGGTTAGGCAATTTTTCCAACAGCAGGTGGCACTGTCTGAGAAAACGATAGGTCTGGAAGTGCTGGTCTGAGCGAGCAGGTCTGAGCGTGCGGTTGGGTCTCGGGGCCTGCAGCTTCATAATGTTGCCACAGAGACTTAGGGAATGGTCACCTACAGTGGTAGAAACGCGGAACTTTGTCTCAAAAGGTCTGCTATACGAACGCTAATGTAAGTTTGCTGAGAGAGAGAGAGAAAAGTAACAGAAACACCCAACGTGGGGCTCGAACCCACGACCCTGAGATTAAGAGTCTCATGCTCTACCGACTGAGCTAGCCGGGCAGATGAGGAGTCACCACAAGAACTAGACACTGTTAACAGTGATACCTTCCCTACCCATGACAATTTTCTGCTAAATCCTGATTTCATCTTGTAACGCTGGACAAAATGTGGCCCAGGATCTTTGTCCAGTGCACGTGTTAGCAGTTGCAAGGCAGCAAAATGATTGATCCGTCCCTGGGTGGGCTTGCGATTAAGAGTCTCATGCTCTATCGACTGAGCTAGCGGGGCTGACGAGAAGCTCTTTTAGGAGCTAGAAACCGTTTACAGTAATACCTTCCCTACCCATGACAATTTTCTACTAAATCCTGATTTCATCTTGTAACGCTGGACAGAATGTGGCCCAGGATCTATGTCCAGTGCACGTGTTGGCAGTTGCAAGGCAGCAAAATGCCTAATTCGTCCCTGGCTGGGCTTCAACCACCAAGCTTTCATTTAACAGCCGAACACGCTAACCGATTGCGCCACAGAGACTTAGTGAAAGATCACCTACAGTGGTAGAAACGCGGAACTTTGTCTCAAAAGGTCTGCTATACGAACGCTAATGTAAGTTTGCTGAGATAGAGAGAGAACAGAAACAGGAACGCCCAATGTGGGGCTCGAACCCACGACCCTGAGATTAAGAGTCTCATGCTCTACCGACTGAGCTAGCCAGGCAGATGAGGTGTCCACATAAGAACTAGACAGTCTTAACAGTAATACCTTCCCTACCCGTGACAATATTCTGCTAAATCCTGATTTCATCTTGTAACGCTGGACAGAATGTGACCCAGGATCTATGTCCAGTGCACGTGTTAGCAGTTGCAAGGCAGCAAAATGCCTAATTCGTCCCTGGGTGGGCTTGAACCACCAACCTTTCAGTTAACAGCCGAACGCGCTAACCGATTGCGCCACAGAGACTTAGTGAAACTTCACCTACAGTGGTAGAAACGCGTAACTTTGTCTCAAAGTCTGCTACATGATACCATATGTAAGTTTGCTGGGAGAGAGAGAGAAAAGTAACAGGAACGCCCAACGTGGGGCTCGAACCCACGACAATGACATTAAGAGTCTCATGCTCTACCGACGGAGCTAGCCGGGCTGATGAGATGAACTTTTAAGAGCTAAACACTGTTTACAGTAATACCTTCCCTACCTGTGACAATGTTCTGCTAAATCCTGATTTCATCTTGTAAGGCTGGACAGATTGTGGCCCAAGATCTATGTCCAGTGCACGTGTTAGCAGTTACAAGGCAGCAAAATGCTTGATTCGTCCCTGGGTGGGCTTGAACCACCAACCTTTCAGTTAACAGCCGAACGCGCTAACCGATTGCGCTACAGATACTTAGTGAAAGGTCACCTACAGTGGTAGAAACGCGGAACTTTGTCTCAAAAGGTCTGCTATACGAACGCTAATGTAAGTTTGCTGAGATTGAGAGAGAAAAATAACAGAAGCGCCACACGTGGGGCTCGAACCCACGACCCTGACATGAAGAGTCTCATGCTCTACCGACTGAGCTTGCCAGGCGGATGAGGAGTCTGCATTAGAACTAAACACTGTTAAATGTAATACCTTCCCTACCCGTGACAATGTTCTGCTAAATCCTGATTTCATCTTGTAACGCTGGACAGAATGTGGCCCAGGATCTATGTCCAGTGCACGTGTTAGCAATTGCAAGGCAGCAAAATGCCTAATTCGTCCCTGGGTGGGCTTGAACCACCAACCTTTCAGTTAACAGCCAAACGCGCTAACCGATTGCACCACAGAGACTTAGTGAAAGGTAACCTACAGTGGTAGAAAGTCAGAACTTTGTCTCAAAAGGTCTGCTATATGAACCCTGATGTACGTTTGCTGAGAGAGAGAGAGACAGAGAGGTAACAGAAATGCCCAACGTGGGGCTCTAACCCACGACCCTGAGATTAAGAGTCTCATACCCTACCGACTGAGCTAGCCGAACTGACGAGAAGCCTTTTCAAGAGCTAGACACCATTTACAGTAATACCTTCCCTACCCATGACAATCTTCTGCTAAATCCTGATTAAATCTTGTAACGCTGGATAGAATGTGGCCCAGGATCTATGTGCAGTGCACGTGTTAGCAGTTGCAAGGCAGCAAAATGCCTAATTCGTACCTGGGTGGGCTTGAACCACCAACCTTTCAGTTAACAGCCGAACGCGCTAACCGATTGCGCCAAAGAGACTTAGTGAAAGGTCACCTACAGTGGTAGAAATGCGGAACTTTGTTTCAAAAGGTCTGCTATATGAACCCTAATGATAGTTTGCTGAGAGAAAGAGAGGTAACAGTAACGCCCAATGTGGGGCTCTAACCCACGACGCTGAGATTAAGAGTCTCATGCTCTATCGACTGAGCTAGCGGGGCTGACGAGAAGCTCTTTTAGGAGCTAGAAACCGTTTACAGTAATACCTTCCCTACCCATGACCATGTTCTGCTAAATCCTGATTTCATCTTGTAACGCTGGACAGAATGTGGCC